ATTTGGGCTTCGAGAAAGGGGGGAACGCGTCAGCGTCACCCCAATACACGAATACTATGCAAGGCGTTCCAGAACGGGCCTGGTCTTCGAGGGTCGGAGGCGCTGTCGCCTCTTCTTCGGCGGGAGGTCGGCGGGAGAGGGTCGGCGGGAGTGCAACGAGGCCGCCTCCTCTGGCGGAAGCCCGCGGAGGGGCCGGCGGAAGGCGGCGGCAGTAAGCTCGGGAGCCTCGAGACGGGGGTCAGTGCAAACGGGGGTCAGCCAGGGCACCAGATCCTGCAGGATCCTGCGAAGGCCCCCTCTGGCTGACCCGGGTTAGCGAGCCGCTCGTGGCCGCGAGGCGGCCGCGCTTATTGGCTGACCCGGGTTTGCGACGACCTGCGTTGCAGTTTTTTTTCCTGCATTGCAGTTTTTGGTATCCCGCTGACCCGGGTCTGGATTGACCCAGGTCAGAAGATCCCCAGTAAGCGATGCGCCCAAAAGAGATTAGCATGCGTTTGTTTTGGTTCAGGGTTTCCAGGATCCGCCATGTGCCCCCACTGGCGTCGCACCCACAGAGAAATCTTATAATTTATAGATGCGTCGTGGCGGGCGCTTCATGGCCACACCGCTCGGGACACGATCTAGTACAAGACAGGTGTACTATATGTTCGGGTCGGACGCGCGCCTCCAAGGAGGACATGTAGTACCAGTATGTCTCTGTGCGTCCCAGAACAGGGCATGACCATAAATTGTTTGAGCTCCGCGTGGGTTTCCTGGAATCGGCGCTGAAGCCCCCTGGCGGCGCCTGTGGCGCCGCCCCCAGCGCGCTCCGCGCGCCAGGGAGGGGTCCAGCGCCGATCCAAGGACTCTGCGCGGACCTCCGACATTTTATGTTCATGCCAGTTTTTGCTCCTCCTCAGGGTACGGATATAACTGGGAAAACTGGCATTGAAAGTTTTTCCGTCCCGCTGTCCGTGGCACGCGCTGTTCGGCCGGCATGCCTTCCCGGTGCAGGTCTCTTGTAGGTTGCGCCGTCGCCAGTTCAGTATCCCCCTCCCTTCTTCCTTCCCTCCCTCCTCCTCTCTCCTCCTTGCCCCCTCCTCCCTCCCTCTCCCCCCCCCCTCCCTCCCCTCCTCTTCCCGCTCATCCCCCCCCCTCCCCCTCCCCTCCCCCCCTCTCCTCCCCCTTACCCTCCCCCCCCCTCCCAGTCGCGTTTGGGCTCAAGGCTGGCCTGGGGGTGCAGACCATGTCTGCGAAGCCTCCGAGCACGCGCGACCAGGGCGTTGCTCGCCATTCCGACTGCATCGCAGAAGAGCGACCCCGCCTGGCATCGCCGCCAGCGCACGAAGCGCGGAGCGGCCCGGATGCTGGTGAGGCCAGGGCAGGCAGCAGGCTTAATGGCATGTCACCACGGCAGCGGGCCGACTGCGACGATGGCTCCGAGTCGCACGGCCTCCCAGAGCAGCCAGCAGCAGCAGCAGCAGCAGCAGCAGCAGCAGCAGCAGCAGCAGCAGCAGCAGCAGCGCGCCGCCGCCCAGGAGCCGTGCTCGGTAGCAGATCACGGGAGCCTGGTATACCTCCTTAGTTTCGTCTTCAGGGCCCGTTCAGTGTCGATTCGCGTCTGGGAGCCGATGCGATAGTGCCGATTCAGCGTCGCCGAGCGTCGCTCAGCATGCATGCGTCGTCGATCAGCGTCGATCCAGCGTCGCCTCGCAGGAGCCGACAGGATGCCGTGGGGGAGGCTCCCGCGAGCTGCCACCGAGGCCGCGGAGCTGCAGGGGGCTGCCAGCCCTCGCCAGCTCCGCTCCCCGCAGCGCCGTGCAGGAGCTGCGGCGGCAGCGAAAAGCACACCTCCGGGCCTTGCCCCCCCCCCCCCCCCCCGGAGGGCCCGGCGCGCGGAGCGCGCGCCGCCCCCCCAAACGACAGCGAGGCGGCGCTCCTCCTTCTCCTCCTCCTCCTCCTCCTCCTCATTCTCCTCCTCCTCCTCCTCCTCCTCCTCCTCCTCCTCCTCCTCCTCCTCCTCCTCCTCCTCCTCCCTCCTCCTCCTCCTCCTCCTCCTCCTCCTCCTCCTCCTCCCTCCTCCTCCTCCTCCTCCCTTTTCCTCCCTCCTCCGCCCTCCGCCCCGATCCCCCTCGAGCAGCGAGGGCCCGCGGGACGGCCGAGGGCAGCGGGCAGGGTGGGCTCCCGCGGGGCATCCCGCCCAGGCTCCCGCAGCAGGCTTCAGTCGGGCCTGTCCCCCTACAGGGGGAGTTTCAACGAAAATTGAAACATACCCCAAACAATGCCCCCAAAAGGTCTAAAGATATTTAAAAAATAGTCCCAGGACTATTTTTGGATTAGTTCTGGGGTATTTTTATTTTTCGCCGAAAATCCCCCTGTAGGGGGACAGGCCCGACTTAACAGCAGGCCCAGCAGCGCTTGGGACCTCGGCCATAAAAAGGGCGACGCCCCGGGCCCTGGAGGGCCATCGCCGAGGCCGTCGTCCACAGACGGCTGCGGGTTGCGCGCTGCCCTGGGGATCGACGGCTCCCTTGGCCTCGGAGCGCGTCCTGGGGGGGGGGGGCTTCAGGTGTCTTTTGTGGGGTCTGCCCAGGAGGCGACGGACTCGGCCCAATGGGCCCCGGAGTTTCGCCGCGCGGACCGGCGCTCTCGACCCGATCCCGAACGGGAGCGCTTCCGCCGCCCGCTGGTCCAGGCGTTGCCCCAGGCCGCCTGCCCAGGGTGTGCCCAAGGGTGTGCCGGCAGCCAGGCCCCCAGGACGGACCCCGCCGAGGTCCCCACCAGAGAGGACCACCTCCTAGGCTTCGTTGGGCTCGCTTCCCCCTTCGTGCCCGTCCCTCCTTCCCTTCCTCCTCCCCTCCGACTCCTATCCGAGTCCCAGCGCGAGCGAGTCCGAGCGAACCGAGCCGAGGCGCTCAGGAGGCTACACCTCGAGGGGGCCCCGTGGGTGGCCCTGCAAGGCTGCGGGCTCGGCTACATCTTGTTCGTGATCAGGGGGCGGCATTGTGACGCTTTGCGTTTGATCCGCTTCTCCTCCTCCTCCACCCTCATCCTCCTCATCTCCTCCTCCTCCTCCTCCTCCTCCTCCTCCTCCTCCTCCTCTGGGGGCCGCGGGGCGAGAGCGCGGCCCTCCTCACGAGTGAGGGCCGCGACCTGTGCGCCCGCGGCGCACGCAGGCCAGCACCGAGAGGCGGTCCCCTGGCGCACGCCTTTTCCCGCCGCCGCCCCCCTCCCCCAAGACAACTTCCCTCCTCCTGAGGCTCCCTCCTCGCCCGCTCCTCCCAAGCCTCCACGCCGCCCTGCCCCTCTCCGTCCTCGTGCCCCCCCCCCCTCCGAAGAGTCCGTGTCCTCTGCTCCTCCTGCCTCTGCCCCTCTTCCTCCTGCTCCCGCCCCCCAGTGTTCGCAACATCGGCACCCCAGTGTCTTATCGCATCTCCTCCTCCTCCCCCTCCTCCTCCTCCCTTCCTTCCTCCATTCCTTTTTCCTGATTAATAACTTCTCCCTGTCGCACCCCGACGCCAATTTTTACGGCGGGCTGGGCGTTTTGCCTGATATTTCCTCACCGTTGTTGCCTCTGAAGCGTAAGAAGTGTGAACCGTTTCACAGATGGAGAGCGGTTCTTTCTCACAATGTGGCTCTCGCCTTAGCCCGGCGCACATTCGATTCAAACATTTGCAAGAGTTTCACGGATTGAGGGCGGTTCTTTCTCACAATGTGGTTCTCGCCTTAGCGCCGCGCGCATTCGTCTTAAACATTTGCAAGAGTTTCACGGATTGAGGGCGGGTGGTTGTCAAAATGTGGCTCTCGCATTAGCGCAGCGCACATTCATTGTCAACATTTGCAAGAGTTTCACGGATTGAGGGCGGGTGGTTTTCAACATGTAATTCTCGCTTGAGCGCCGCGCACATTCGCTTTCAACAAGTTGCATGGGTTTTGCGGATTGAGGGCGGGTGGTTTTCAAAATGTGTTTCTCGTTTTAGCGCCGCCAGCGTTCATTTCAATTATTTGCAAGAGTTTCACGGATTGACGGCGGTTCCGTTTCAAAATGTGGTTCTTGCCTTAGCGCCGCGCACACTCTTAAAACAAAACAAGTGCTAAAGTTTCACGGGTTCCCATGATCAGCGTACCAAAAAAGGTGTTTTGCAGTGATTCAGGATTATGCGGGCGCAACAGTTATGTTGACTCTCTGTGTTGAAGACCCCACAATGGCGTTCTGGCACGACTCTGGATCGTCAAGACGCAGCAGCCAGGTTCATATGTGGCGTTGAAATCCCGAGAACCATGTTCTGGCACGCTGCGTGAGGATCTTCAAACTGTTGTCTTCCAGCGAGGCAGTTCCCTCAATGGAAATGAACCGTAGTGGGGGCCTATGGAGAGGGAGATTGAAAGGAGGGTTCATTCCAACATCGTTGATGACTCTTGGGTTTCCATTGGTCCTCCTCCTTCTCCTCCTCTTCTTCCTCCTCCTCCTTCTCCTCCTCCTCCCCCTCCTCCTTCTCCTCTTCCTCCTGCCTCCTGCCCCCGCTGCTCCTGCCCCCGCACTCCTGCTGCTGCTGCCTCCGCCGCCGGTGCTTTTGTGCTTCTGCCGCCGGCGCTGCTGCCGGCGGCGTGGCAGGCCTTCTGCTCGCCCCCTGGGTCCGGGAGGCCCTGCTGTGCGATCCGCCCTGCGCGGAGGTGGCCCCCCCCATCTTTGCGGCAGCTCGCGCTGGGCAGCGCACGCAGCCTGGCCATCGCTGCTGGAAACGCAGAGAGGGAGAGGAAAGAGAGAGGGAGAGAGAGAGAGGGAGCTCTCCTTCCAGCTGGCCTGGTTGCTCTTGGGCTGAGTTTGTTTCGGCTTTGACCCGTTTGCGCCGCCACTCGTAGAAACGCTCGGGGGCATCCTTCTCGTGCCTGTTGTAATGCACGTCCTCCCCGTCCTATCGCGGTCCTGCACGGTGGGCCCCGGCGTGATGATCAGCTCGATGAGGGGAGGGGGCCAGATAGGAGTAGTTCTGCTCTTCTCTGGCCCTGTTTGTGGGGCTATCGACACCTGGCATTTTACTGGCTAAATGCACCCATTCATTTACCACGACACTCCTGGTCATAATCAACATCATGATCATGATCAGCATCATCACCACCGTCCTAACGCTCCTGCTTCTTCTCCTTCTCCTCCTCCTGCTGCCGGCTGACTCTGTTTGTGGGGTTATCGACTGCTGGCATTTGCTATATGCATTTATTTACTCACCACGACACTCCTGGTCACAATCAACATCATGATCATGATCAGCATCATCACCGTCCTCACGCTCCTCCTCCTCCTCCTCCTCCACCTTCTGCCGAGAGGCCTTCCTGCAGTCAAACCGCGTGGAGGTGATCGCGCTAGTGGAGGGCGAGGCGGCATGTAGCGGAGCAGGAAGATGAGGAGCAGCAGCACTAATAGGAGCAGAGAGAGCATGCCGGGCTTGTATTTTACAGGCCCGCTCCTAGTTATCGCATTTACCGCGCAGCCATCGGGCACCGAAAGTACGGCCGATGATTTTTCAGGGGTGAGGACAGAAGTAGGCCGTTGGCTGCGAGTTATCCTCGCGCGACATGGGAAGAAACTGCTCGGGCCAGGGTGCCCCGGGTGTCGTTTCTCCGCTTGAGCCCTCGCCGCAGATTCCCAGACCCATGGGCAAGAGACTTGGCGGACTCACGGTTGGGCTCCGTCCGCACCGCAGGGCACGATGGCCGCAAGGCAGTGCGCAGGGACGACCCGATGAGCAGAAGCGGGCCCCGTGCGCGTGTGCGTGCAGGTCGCCTCTCTTGCACACAGGCCGGTCGGGGTTTCCCTCCTCCGCAGTCGGTTTCCACGCAGATGTTTCTCATCCACAGTGTTGGGGCAATGTAGGATGTTCGCTCCCCGTACATCCTCGAAGTCACCCCCAGCCAGGGGCGCGGAGGTGACCGCGCGTCGTGGTCTGGGCCGGAGAGAGCTGCCCTGCTCCAGGAGGGCGGCGCGAGAGAGCGCGAAGGCGCGAAGTGCACCGCGCGTCGCGCATCGCGGAGCGCAGTGCGTGAAGCTGGGTGACCCAGAGCTTCAACCGCGGCTGTAGTGTTGTTCTTTTCCGTTGGAACCGTACAGTCCGTCGTGACGGTGGGGTCCCCCCCCCGGAAGGGCAACGCTCACCACCCACCAGACCACCCCAACCCCACCCAGAAACCCAAAGTTGCCCTCCGAAATTTGGGTCTTCGGGTTGGGTTGTGGTGGCTCGGTAGGTAGTCAAACGCACGTGCGCGTAGTTGTTTTTGGCTCCCTCTTGGATATGGCGCTATGCTTCGAGGCGTGTGCAATGGTGCTGACAGGAATGCTTTTTGGTGCTCGCATCACGCAGTGCCGCTCGCAAGGTCCGCGGTGTTTCTGCTGCTGCTGCTGCTCGTGCTGCTCTCGTGCTTCTGCTCCGGTGCTCTTCCTGCTCCTCTTTCGATGCTTTCCCTCGTGCAGTGCTTTTCTTGCTGGTGTTTTTTGTGTCAACCCTTGCGGCCATAACGCGCGTTATGTCCCCCCTCTACACCCCCCCCCTCCATAACGTAGGGGTACCTCCTCCCGTAATGCGCCTCCAGCGCTGCCATTGTGATGCCCGCCGGCAATCTGAGTGCTTGCAGGCTACTTTAACGTTCACGGGCTAGCATGGCGTTGACAGGTTCAGTGCACATTGTGCTGCGCTCGCAGGCTTTTTTCGCACATGCAGGATCCAGCAGTTTTTACGTACGCGCGCGAGGTTCATGCGGTGTTCTGATGCTGGCAGGGCCGCGAGAGTTTGGTCGTGGTATTCGTGACGGAAGTTGTGGCCTCGCAGGCTATTTTCGCACATGCAGGATCCAGCAGTTTTTACGCACGCGCGCCGAGGTTCATGCGGTGTTCTGATGCTGGCAGGGCCGCGAGAGTTCTGGTCGTGGTATTGGTGACGGAAGTTGTGGCAACAGTCGTAGCAGTAAAAGTGATATCAGAAGGAGGAGGGGGAGGAGGAGTAGGAGGAGGAGGAGGAGGCGGAGGGAGAGTGGAGTGCGACGGGCTGACGTCGTAATCGTCGTCGGGGTCGTCTTGTGGTCTTGGTGATCGATGTTGTGATTGTCGTAGTCGTCGTGTCCGTCTTGGTCGTAGTGGTAGTCGTCATCGGCGTAAACAATTATTTATCTAGTTTATGACGGTTACTAGTGCTACCAATACTGCGGCGACTCTCATTTTTATTCATACGACTACTGCTGCAACTGTTGTTGATACGATTGTTATTGGTGTTGCCACTAGATCGGAACATTGCTACTGCGACCCCTGTTACTACGATTACGACTACAGACACTTGCGAGGACGATTGCTATTGTTGCTACTACTATTGCTGCTACTACTTGTACTACTACTACTACTACTACTACTACTACTACTACTACTACTACTACCACTACTCCTACTCCTACTCCTACTACTACTACTACTACTACTACTACTACTACTACCACTACTACTACTACTCTACTACGACTACGACTGCTACCATTACT